CCCCAAAACCCCAAAACCCCAAAACCCCAAAACCCCTTTTTTAGAACGAACCATTGAATTTACCTAGCCAATAGAATATTTTTATTCCTTGCTCAAATAGAATTCTAAAGACATCTTCGTATCGAAATTTTATAAATATTACAGAAATGTTAGCTACACGGATGATTAGGAGGCATCCTTTACGATAAGATGACTAAACAAGTCCTTCTCCCTTGAACAAGAAGGTTCTTGGAATGCATCTTTGATTTCATTTCTAAGTTTGAGATGACTTTCGCTATGAGATCTTATTCTGATAAAGCTGTCAATAGTCTGGTCAAGATCATCCTCATCTACCTTGAAGTGTTTCAAGGTACTCTCTATTTCATCATTATCCAAATCAATAGCAATGGCTAAGAACCCTGAATATGAAAGATAAGATCGATTTAGATCAAGTCCAATGCAGTAGAACCCTGTTCTCAGTTGCTTTAAATCAATAAGTCCAGCTCAATTAGGGTCAAGGCTGAGGAATGTTTGATCTAGCTTAGCTAGTACATGCGGCTGTATCTTAATCTTTGCTAAGTTAATGATTTCCTTCTTAAGGAGAATTGAGTTCTCAAAGTACAACAATTTCTCCAATAAGCATTCGTCATATTCAACTTTGTGACTCTCTGGATTTTTAATAAAAGAGTGATTAAGAGCATAATCAACTGTAGCTCTCCTCTCAGGGTCTTTATCCAAAAGACTCTCTATGAACTGGCCTCCCTCATAAGCAATCAAAGACCAGGGCTTTAAAGTGAAGTCTAACTCTTTTCATAAGACTTCTTTGTAAATTGCAGAGGATGTATTTCCTCTAAAGGGAAGATACCCTGAAAATAGAGCATAAGCAATAATCCCTACTCCCCAGAGGTCACACTCTTTATTATAGCTCCCTGTCAAGACTTCAGGAGCTATAGCATATGGAGTTGCAACCTTATCTTTCATATCCTGTTCTTCAGAAAAATATCATGAAGAGCCAAAGTCGATGACCCGAACTTGACATGTGTCTGGATTAAAAATGACGTTATCTAGATTCACATCTCGATGCACAATTTTACATGAATGCATGTACTTGATTGTCCTCAGGAGCTGGTTAACAACATTCCTGATCTCCTCCTCTTCAAGCTCATCATGGTTATTGATGTAATCATAGAGGGAAGTCCCTTCAACCAAATCCATAACAAGGTAAATCTTGTTTCCTTCAAAGTAAACTTCATGAAGCTTGACTATATTTGGATGGTCTAGTTTATTCAGACATCAAATCTCTTGGAAAATCGAGAGTGAATAATCTTCACAATCTTTCAACTTATAGACTTTGATTGCGAATTTCATGGCTGGGTCGACTATAAATATGTCAAAACTCGGCTAGGGAGTGGATTTGGAGAGATTTCATTTATCATAAATTTGAATTATCTCTTACCTTTACTCGAAGCCTCCTTCACCAGAGAATTTCTACCACTTCCAATCACTTGACCAATGTTGTAATAATCTCTGATTGGCTCTTTGATGATGGTAAACTTATGAAATCTTTGAACAGACTTCCTCAGAAAGTGCTTTTTGTTGTACCATGTTGAAGATCTTCGAGAATAGTACTCAAAAATCTCGAATTGAGAAGTAGGTCTAATCCTTTTATCCATGGGAGCAGATGAGATGAGACTTTCAGTTGATACATCTCGAGATTTCCCGAAAATCGCTTTCGTATTTCTCTTTAAACTTGCCATTGTTAACTATAAGTAACTATTCAGATCCGATGATAAATTTTGGATATAGAGTCACAATTCAGGATTCAATCTTAACCACCAGGAAAGTTTTTGGATATCAGATTAAATTAGTCATCGTACGCACTACCAAAATAAACTCATCTCAAATTCCACTTAAAACCCAAAATGATGATGATGAGCTATTCTTGAACTAAAAATACTAGGCATATTTGCAAAACTTTTGTGATCCCTCAATCTAGCCTCTGAAAGCTCTAATAAATTTTAAAAAAGATACACTTTTCATAAATTATATCCAATTTTTAAATTATTTCCAAAAGCCCAAAGCATAGCTTCCCAGAATATATTCTTGTCATGGAATAGGGAAGACAGGTTAGCATCACAAGGCAGCCTAGATGGCCATCTCTTGAACCCAGTTTGAGACGGCTTTAATTGGTAGTCTAACCGCTGGGGTTTATACTCATTCAGAATATAATAAAATAACGTATCAAAAATTGATATAACCACTATTCGATGTCACAAATGACTTTTTGTGTTCCTAAAATTTATACAGTAGATTCCTCCTAAATCCGATCGAAGACTAAGGGAAGTCACTAACCTGAAGTCTAACACTGGTTTAGATCCAAAACTGATTACTGCTCACTTACCTTTTATAGTGGCCAAATCTATTTTTAAATAATAACTTTCAATGCTAAAATCTAAAAATGGGGTTTTGGGGTTTTGGGGTTTTGGGGTTTTGGGG